TTATAAGGGACAGAGCCACGGAGGAAGTAACGGTTATCGTATGTCACAAATATTTTGACATACGGAACCCCCTTCTTAAAGTTCCGATATGTCAAAAATATTTCGACATACAAGATCCATCTTAAAAGGTCCCGTATGTCACAAATATTTAAAAGGTTTTTTAAAAAAATAATATTGAAACAAAACTTATCAACAAAATATGGCTAAATTTATTATTATGAGTATATGTCATGATCCCTTAATTGTAAAAATTGAACATAAGTCACATGTTATGACTAAAGTTACTACTTATTATAGTCACTACACTTAGGAAAAAAGACATGCTTTACATATAATCTTTATTGTAATCATAAATATGTAATTATTAGTATTTAAACTACAAACCAAAAAATTAATCATTTGTATATTTCTGCCAAAGTAAAGAAGCATGCTTGATTAAGAGTTTCTAGTATCTTTACAGTTTGTCAAACATATTAAAATAGTAATGAAATTTAAGATTGAATCCAAATCTTACCTGATAGTTTAGCTTTTAGTGCAAAATTGGTATTAGATTGAAGCCTATCCACATCCTTACTCTTACATTAGGAAGACATTAGAAGGATCAAACAATTTCCCAAACAAATATAACATGATGGTGGTTCCCCAAGGAGAATTTCCCAAACAAATGTAACATGATTTTAATTTTAAAATCATTGTCTAACTCATTACACATGATGCAAATGCTCATATAATATAAAAAATAATTCATACTCTTATAGTACAACATCTAAATAATTTTTAACATTTAATGATATGCTTAATTATTGGTTGAATTGTGCATTAAATCATATTGTAAATTATATTTCAAACATCACTTTAATTAATCATTATATGTATAATCACATTTAGTTTATACCCTGAGTAAAGACATTATGATATGAAAGCATAATAACAATATGTCAATATGCATATATTTTTACGAACACAATCAAAATATTCACAAGAAAAGTTTCATACATAACACTTTTGCTATTCTCCAATTATGAACAACTACAAGAATATCAATAATGTACTCTCATCGTTCCAACGAAACCCAACGCAACGTGGTTGCAATGGGGATAAGCCGGGATTGCAACACATGTTGCGGCTGCAATATTGTGGTTGCCTTATGTAGCACAACCGCATCAGGCCGCAATGAAAGTGCGGTTTCAATTCATGGGGAAAATCTACTACGTAACCCAACGAAACCGTAAGGTAGCCGTAAAGAGGCCATATTGGATCGTATCAAGACATCTACACTAAATATTTTTTATTTCGTTCGAACGTAAAATTATAATTACACTGCATCAGCCGCAATAGTCGTAACCGCAGCGACCGCAATCACAATGCTACCACAATAAAAAAATTGATATAGTCATATAGACTAAAAAGTAAATATATGATATATGATGATGGATAATTTAATATATAGTCATTTAAAATATAAAAAATATTATTGTTTGTAGTTAGACCATGGTAAAAATGTGTTATATTAAACTTTGTATCTTATGAATGATTCACAAATTGACACACCGCTATCGGGGCATTGCCCCGGAGTTTACACTAGTTATCTTATCGGGCATTGTAATTACACCGCTATTTCCTAAAAATCATGTCACTTTTAAATGAAAACGCTAGATATATTCCAGAAAAGTGACTAATTTTATGTATAGATAAAATTATGACTAACACGTTAGTGAAGTTTGAAAGCTATGAACGTCAATACTTGTCTTCTAATGTCATTGTCAATCTATTATTTAACTAACATTTACATTTCGTGTCATCACCACTGCCCCTGGTGTCATTGTACTGTGCAATATGTCATTGTGACAATAAAGAGAATATCTGGTTAATTTTTAAAGAGGAAAACTTGAAAAAATGCAACAAATTTTTTATATGGCTTTCCCAACAGTTGTTGAAACTTGAAGGTGTCAGTGGGGCGTGATGTAGAGTCAGGGGTTGGATGGAGACTACAAAAATATGAAATTTAATTCAAATGAATAAAAATTATTCACATTTTTGTTCCAGGTTAAACTATTTAAGAAAAAGTTGTAGTTTGAAAAATGTCTATTTACCTTGGACTCGAGGAAAAGAATTTAAAATGCAATAAAATTTTTGACCTCTCACTTCTTACTACAATGGAGATACTCATCTTCATGTTTTCTATTTAGGGGTTTTCCTTAAATATTACCTCGTACTATATTAATGTCAAATTTTGAAAAAGTGGTTACATTTATATGGATAAAAATGTGATTAAAAATGTAATGAAATTGGAAAGTCAAAATGTCACTATCAGTTTAGTATGTAATAAAAAAAGGATGACACCTCATTCCTGAGGGGGGCCCCAACCCCGACCGGACGGTACATTGGGAGGGTGTAAATTGGACTATAATCACAATCTGACAGATAAAGAGTGGGGCTCTGTCCCCGGTACTTGCAGAGGCTCTATGCATTTTTTAGCATAGTAACCTCTCATCGCAGTTGCCGAGATTCGAACCCGGGACCTAACTCTTGTGGCACTTCCTCGCTACCACTTGTCAGTAATTATATCACTAACGGTAACTGCTGGTGTCACTGACTCACCGTTGCCGCCATCTGTGTCATTGTTACCGTGATGCTTGTCATACTGTGATCGTAAAAAAAAATCCTTCAAAATTAAAGAATGAAGAAAAAAACCAGTGGCTTCCCACGACCATTGTTGTTGGAGGCAGCATTGGGGCAGGGATGAGATGAGTAGTTGAGTAAGAATTTGAATTAAAACAAAAATGTATATTGGGGAAAGGTTAGTCACATTTAAAAGAATGAAAACTAGATACACGTTTTTATAATAGAGGTGACCCTTTATAATGTAACTAGAAAGACTATCTATCTTCCAAAAAAATAAAGGAAATATTTTTTCTTCATTTTAACTGTCTATTTTGGCGGGGACAATAGGTGGAAACGAGTTAGGCGACTAGAGTGAAGGCCACATAATCAACGTGTTATGATTTAGGATGTTTTTATTTGGACTATTTTCGGTCACAAACCAGATCAAAATAAGACTTGCATATTTATAAAATACACATAGACCATACATTTATCAGACTAGACCAATTCAAACTAGACTACACTAGATCAGACCAAATCAGACTAGACTAGCCCAAAATTTCCAGTTCAATTAAAAACATTCATAAACACTTTGAGCTATGTATATTCCAAAACTTGCAACAACTTATGATTTAAATAAAAAATATAGTCTGATACATGTCTCAAAAATACGTATGTCTTATAAATATCCCCAAGTCCCAACCTAAATTCCTAAATCAAGACTTCAATGGTTATAAAAATATATAGATCAAACATCTGTCGGAAAATACCAAATCATGCAAGACTTAAACACACTAGAACAAATTAAACCAGACCAGAAAAGTTGAGTCTAATTTAAATCATCTTAAAAGGAAAAAAGAATTATATTCACATCATGTATAAAGAAAAAAATATCGAGCCTATATTTCAATTCTTAGGTCTAATGGTGGCCCTTGTTTCCATCCCTTTAGGTCCGGTCCCGGACATTATAAGTAAACTATAGTTGATATTTTATAAAAAATTAAAAGAAAATGGATTTGGCAAAAAGTACATTGATGAAAAAGTATAAGAATTGATGAAAAAGTATTAAAGAGAAATGTAGAAAAAAATTAAAAAACATCACAAAAAGAAAATGTTTACGCAAAAGCGGATATTGGAGTGTTTGAGTGAAAGTGTAACAATACTTTTAGGTGCTCCAAATTGTTCTACACAGTTTTTTAAAAGTTAGGGTAGACCGGCTTCTGAAAAACTGGACTTTGATTCTGCTTTTAAAAAAGAAGCACAAATAAAATCAATTCAGAACATCTATATATATGTGCATATTGCCTTTGAGCATAGATTGACTTTTATGATTGTTAACCTTTTTATGATTTTTATTCTTATTTCCAATTAACGAGTTAGGATTTTAATAACTTTTTAACCATAAATTTATAAGTTTCTTTGTTCATTATTTTTTCGTAATCCCTCCTTCATGTGCTTACCGTGTTTTTGAAAATAGTGGGATTAGTTGTTGGTCAAAAGATTAGGGAGAACTATCGAATATGCCCTCGAACTTTCATAAAAAGTGCAAATAAGCCCTTTTATAGGAGGATTTGTCCGGCAGTCGCCATTTGGGCGGTTTCCGGTGCAATGTTTTGATGAAATTTTTTGATCATCTTGTTCATTAAGTCTAGTTTACTCATACCAAATTTCAGCTAAAAATTCAATCGGGAAGACAGTCAAATGAATTTTTGAAGATAACTGCGTAGTTAGAAAGCGTAGTATATTCCAGAAAATCATTTGACTGCCTTCTTGATTGACTTTTTAGCTGAAATTTGGTATGGATAAACTAGACTTAATGAAGAAGATGCTCAAACAATTTCATCAAAAAATTCCACCGAAAACCGCCTTAAATGATGACAGCCGGACAAAGCCTCCTATAAAAGAGCTTATTTGCACTTTTTATGAAAGTTCGAGGGCTTATTTGATAGTTCTCCCAAAAAATTATTATATGAAATTTTTTCACTCAAATGAGTAGAAAGATTATTATATGATATAATTACATACCATTTTAGTAAATACACATTCCATCTACTAACCAAAGTATTACGGAATACGCCATGTACCTTATGGTGTGATGACATCATTGTGACACTCTCAAGGAAGAGTTCACAGGTTTGAATCACGTCTCAATTCAAGAATGTTGGTCTTAACATAGAACATATACTATAATAAGTTAGGAAGCTTTGCCAAAAAAAGTATTACAGGAATACTTTTATCTAAATCATTTCAGCCATTTCACCAATTTTCATGTTTCAATACTCAGCTGTCTCTTTAAAACTAATGAAAAGAAATTTCTAATGACTGAATAAATTTGAAGCATAAGATCATTTTAAACAAGATGAATACATCTAAACCTTAAGATCATTTCTATGAGACCCAGAGATACTGTCTAACATTGACATACCCTAACGGTTGAAATTGAAATGAATAATTGATTCAAATGAACAAAAAACTTAAACCGTTGATGTTCAAAGAGCATCATACAGCAAGCAGACAATTAACGTTAGCTGCAAATATACATCACGAAAGAGTGATGCATATATTTGCTCTAGGTTTATAAGAGCATTATTTAATCCTATAATCATCAACCCCAAGCTAATATACAAGGAGACTTTCACTTCAAAATTTCTTAGGGGAAAAATGGTATAGATACTCAATGTAACAAATATATCAACTCGTTAGGACTTCACAAAAAAATAATCATAACCTCCCAGGAGGAAGAATCTTGGGGGCCTGCTCAATGTGTTTTACTACAGACGATGGAGGAAGACGGCCAGTGCAGATCTCATGTACTGTGGAAAATAGAGGGAAGCCCTCCAGCCATCCCCGGCTAGATAGAAACTCGTAGACCTCTTTTGCTGTTGACACACCCTACAAAACATGGATGAGTCCCGCCATCATTTACTAGGATTTTGATTGTTTATTTTATTATTTACAAACTAATACGAGAGTATATGGAAAGAAGCCTCCTAAAATAAAAATCCACAAGCACTTGTATTTTGACAGAACTTATGTAATTGATATATGATTCTCGTCAAAATTTTACTTGGGTGTTCTATTTATTACTGGTTTTTTCCAGTAAAGAAGGGCAGGGCATAACAAAACTGACTCACCCCTTTGTGTTTTGGAGATCCTGGGTTACAACCCACTCCTTGCAAAAAATAAAGGAAAAGGGGTTCCCTAGTCTATGCCATTCCCCTAACCCCCCAATCGTGTGTGTTAGAGTCCCACATCGAATCATCGAGGAAAAGGTGGTCTAGTCTATGTCCTCCCTCAGATCAGTTGTGTGTTAGAGTCTCAATGGGATCATTAAAGGGTGTTTTAATAACTTAATACAACAAGTCAACAACACACATGGAGGAAAAAATGTTACACACCTTGAGGTACACCTTTTGGTGTGTATTGGTTAAAATGAACCTAATATGATATCACATCCATAGTCGCATGGTTCGCGGAATGATTCGATACGGGAATGAGGAATGGGAACACGGTTCGCTAGATCTAGCGTATCCGGTTCGGAGGGGGTAGGTTCATTTCGGTACGCGTTCAGTACGTTGTACCACATGTTCGGTACGTGGTATCTTATATTTTGATACTATAATGAAACTAAATTTAAGATTTCACAAGTCATAACAAATACAGATTTCATAATCATAGGTCATAACATTAAACAAAATAAAAAACATTAATATTCTAGAAATAAAAAACAATAATATTCCAGAAACTGAAGAGAAAAAACTAATAAAGTCGCAAAAGTGGACTGTGGTGTAGTAGAAGAAAAATACCGAGAGTCTGAGTGTTTGGGGTAAGAAGACTAAAGGGGGTGTATTCTATTAGGATTTAGTGGTAAAATTTTAAAAGTCCATGGATTTTAAAAGTTTAGGTGTATTCAATGTGTATTGCTATATGAATTACATTTATTTATTTATTTATTTATTTATTTATTTATTTATTTATTTATTTATTTATTTATTTATTTATTTATTTATTTATTTATTTGTTTGTTTGTTTGTTTGTTTCTTTCTTATCATACTCCGTATTATACAGTGGAAATTACTCAGGGTAGGACAAAAACATAGTATTCTTCTTAAAGTATGACCATATGTTTGATTTTCCTTAAATAGGACTAAATATTACATATTCACCTCTAATTTAATTAATTAATATAATTAATTGCCCCTAGTTCCCTTGCATAACCAAATCGATTTTGTTGGTGGCGGATCAGTCTGATGACGACAATGGGGAACTCTGGTGACGGGGCGGATGGGCAAATCGGTAGCGGTGATCTAGGTGAAAATTTCGAAGGTGCACATTTAAAAGTCTATGGACTTTTTGAAAGTCAATAAATTTATCCATGGATTTAAAAGTCTATAGAATTCATTCTTAAAAAAGTCAATGGATTTAAAAATCCATTGACTTTTTTAAGAATCCACGGATTAAAAAAAGTCCACCACAATCCATATTCAATACACCAGAATCAATGGATTTAAGTTTCCCGTCGTTTCCCTCAATTTATTAGTAGGCTCAGAAAGCGAAGAGCATGGTCCGAAATTCTTGCCCTTGTTAGTACAACAAGGGAAACGAAGCGCTGACCTGTTTCAAATTTGGGAAAAGACGGTTCAATCTGGGCAACGACGGGAAACGACGACTCAAGCTGCGCAAAGATGGGAAACGGCGATTAAAATGGCTTTGAACAGCGTTTGGGATAGAATTGAAGAGCGATTGCGAGCGATTGGGAAGAGCGATTGGGATCGACTCAACTTCCGTACCGTTTAGCGTTCCCGTATGCGATCGGATCGATTTCATACCGCGTTTGGGTAAGGAACGACCGGTACGCAGATCGTGCCTTCCCCAGCAATTTATGTATCTATGATCACATCCCTAGATATCAGATGTTGGGTGGCCGGTAAATGTGTATTAGAATCAGCAAACTTCATGCTTCAGGATGTTGGTCCTCAGGCGAAAACCGATGGGCATGTTAGAGTCCTTCCTTAAGGATCTCTTTCAATAACTTAGAGCATCTTCAATGCATGACATGAGAGATATAGACATACAATTAAATTAATGACATTTCTCTCTTTCTGTACACGGTCTCTACATTTTCACTTTATTTTTATTAACAATGTCAAACATATTTACATTTAGACATTTCCCTTGTGATGAAAAGTTATCAAAGATTGACAAGAGCATTCAAATAAGGAGAGATGTATTATATGTACCAATTTTTATGTGTCATCTCTCTCATGCCACGTTAACACCGTACACATTGTTGCATGGGAACTGCTCTTAGATTAAATTTAGGTGGGGGTTCCTTTTGGACCGAATGAAACAAAAATCCCCGAGTTTAGGCACTTGGCAATTGGCGTGACATATTTTTCACGATCAAATGTGTTCTATAGCTAGCAGCAGGTGGCATACCTGAAGCTTTTGACCCTGCAACATCTCTGCTTCAAGTTCATCAAAAGACCTATCCAATGCTCATAAATAACCATCAGTGTACAATCCTTCTTCGTTGTGTAAACACAGTATATAAAACACATCCATACCTCTTCCCCCCATTCTTTGCAAAAGCTTCTGCACACTTCCTGTTTCGTCCTCCAACTGCATTACAAGGGAATTGGTCACGCACCATACTTGCATGCCAAGAAAGTAATCAGCATCAATAATTTCTGTTTATACTCACAGCAAGTTGTAATCACATCCGCTACACCACAGCTCTCAAGAAATGTGCTGTCTTTAACTGAGGGGTATAGCGATTTGGAAAATGCCTTCATCTCTCTCAAGCCAATTCTCATTATCGCAGCCTAGTGGAAATTTAATCAAATTTGAAAAGGACCAAACACTTAAAGATTATTTGAGTTTTGACTTTGAGGTCTCTGATATGCTGGATTGGGGGGATCCTGAAGCCTTAAGGTTGCTTAAGATCCTTTGCATTTCACCCTAACACATTAAGGTTAAGTTTGGAACACGGAAAATAGTTGGGTAAGTAAAGCAGTGCCGAGGAAAATAGTTTTTTCATGTTTGTTATCACCTTCAAAAAGTACAAGAAAAATCAATTTTTTTTAAAACTTTTTACATTTTATATAAACATATTAAGTTATAATTTTCTTTCTCTCTGAAGTTCCTCCATCTTCCTCTCTATTTGTTCTTTCTCTACCATTTTCTGGGTTCCCAATGGACCCTATGGTATTTACTATATTCCCGCCTTGGCGCCTTTACCTTTGTGTTGTTTCCCATCTCCAGACCATCAACAAATCCTATAACATCAGCAATGAAATGGATGAAGAATAAATCACAGAACTTGCAAATTGAACTTTGAAGAAACCTAAAAGGAGACAACACGAGAGTATGAACCTGCTGCTAAAGCCACAACATTTTTAAGGGTACCACATAGTTCTACTCCTTCCACATCTTGGACCTAGTGAATTGTTCACCAACAAAAAGTAAAATAACCGGGATAAGATAAGATCCTTGTATAACACAGCTTGTTTTTTAACAAATGTTTAAATACCGTAAGTACTCACAATTGAGATCATAAAATAAGGTGTATTGAATAACTGAACCCATTTATGTGCAATCTCTTTGTTTTCCCTGTATCCTACTGTTGCTTCACTGAACATCTCCACTGCAATCTACATTTTACAGGTTGAGTTGTTATACAAACCATTAGTCTGCAGACCTTATTGACTTGTTTGATTTAGCAGAGAAAGTGAGAAGAACGAAAGCTGTACTAGAGTAAGGTTAGAGGAAAAACAGAGTAAGGTGGAATTTATATATATGATGCATGGTTCCTGTAAAAAGAAGCTTTTAGGAGAGATGAAAATGAATCTCGTTCATTGGATTCGACAATATTGTACTGCCGGAGCTTCCCTGCACACTGCCATGTTGCACTAGTGGTAACATTTTTGTAAATACCTTGGAAAATCTCGTGTCACACTACTCACAAAAGACAGTGCACCATATATCCACCTTCGCACATAAGAAGCACCCTTCCCATGAAGGTGCATATATGGTGCTTTTCAATGAAGACTGCCTTTGTGACTACTGCAATGCGAGATTTAAAGTATTTATAAAAATGTCATTGCTACTAGTGCGATACATAGATGCATAGGGAAGCTCTGGTATTGCAACATCGTTTAATCAAACAACCGAGATTCATTCTAAATTTTCACCTAAAGGTTTCCTTTTATTAGATCCAGTAAGTGAGGTTTTCTTGACTTGATCACCGGCGGGCCTATATCATTTCCCTTTCTTTCTTCTCTATTTCTCACATTAAACCAAATAGCCAACTTCCCCTCTTTCTTCTCCCCCGTTTTTTGACCTAAAACAAACAAAGGCTAAGCGCAGAAATTCAGTAACCTCATTAGCAATGTTTGCCCCCATTAGGACACAGCAATTGACTCCAAGTTGTTTAGTGATGAGGGTGGAGATCATGTGTGGACCCTCCACCCTTACCTCCATTCCTTTAATTAGAGAAATCGCTTGAGCATCTTTTCTAACTTTCCCAACTAATCTCTTGCATATATCCTCCATGAATTGATGAGGAGTAACAAAGACTAGCATGTTAGCTCCTTGCACTGCAAAACAGTTTCCCCATAAATAATGTCCAATCTTAACCTTGCACATATTAATAATGGATTAATGATTAGTGCTCTAAAAATGCTAAAACTAATCTAATGCCTTATAAACTCATGTATGAAGTTATATTTTTGGTCGAACAGTTGGCTTTTCATATGTGAGATGCCTAAACATCTCCCACAAGATTGACATGTTAATCCATCCAACATTGGTTTTAATGTCAATTAACAAATCAACATATCTTGATTTATATGATGATGAAGTATATAGTTTGGTGTAGGATGCTAAGAGGTGGGGATAATAGGTTGGGCAAGGGTCTAGTGGCTAGAGATAAAAAAAAGTTATTGAATAAATTGATTCCTCTACGACAAGTAATCCTTCAGCTCTGCCGTCAAGTTCCCATTGTGGCTAAAACATATTACTTTTACTTTATTATTTTTCACCCATAAATTTTAAGTAGGTTCACTAATGTGTTTTTTCTTCTTTGGAGTTTGTCATTTATTGAAATAGGAACTTAATTTGGGGACATCCAAGAGGGGAAACAATAACTTGATTGTGCGATGGGAGTGTAGTAGAAACTTTGGTTTTCGTACCTGCATGCTCAAGGTCAGGATCCGCAATAACATTCTTACCAAGCTTAATGCCAGCTAGATACTTAACATTCTCCTGCATTTAGGATTAATAATCTGCCCTGTCAGAGTTGAACCCACATTGCAGGCAACATGAGTGATGAGTACGTACTGTTAGGGAACTACAAAACAGGCTGAGGTGCATACGCTGGTTTTGTTAATAACCTCTGAGAGTTTTTCACCGGTTGGCAGTATTTCTTCAAATACCCACATCCTCACTTCATCTATGAAAAATCATAGCGAAAATATCCGAGATTCAAGATTTGGTTTGGTAATACACTATGGTTAAGGGCTATGTTTGGGACACCAAGTTTTGAAAATAAAATAAAAAAGTTGTGAGTTTTGGAATACATCTCACCTTGATATTTTATTCTATTTTACTAGAACAATAACAACATCCAAGTCTTAGTTTCAAAAGAGTTTGAGGTCGGCTAACATGAATCAGAAATCGAGATTAAAAAAGATACATAGAAAGAGATCAAACTGAAAAGAATTGTTCTCTTTCGACTAAGAAGAAAGCTGAACTTAATGTTACATTCAAATGAAAATGATTATGTTTAAATCAGTTTTCAGCAGAGGTGTTAAAAAACTGATTATGATTGTTGTAATTAATTGATTTAAATAATAATTACGGAGTACTATTTATAGAAATAGTCTAATTGAAATAATCCATTTCTTTCCGTTGTCCCAAAACATGCTCTGTAACATGAGAAAACAATAGGCATTCATCATCAGACGGGCTAAGCAAAGTAGGCAGTTTGGGGTTGTAAAGTCAACGAACAATATACAGAAAAAATTCTAAGAAAATGCAGACCGTGGAAAGAATGGAGCTTGAGGACGTTGGATGCAATGAGCTTAGCGGCAACACTGCCCCAGTTACCACTACCAATAACGGTGACTCTAGATTTCGTGTTGTCCGGAGCAACGGCGGCGAAGTCATTGATTTCAGATGGCCGAGAAGACGAGGAGGGAGTCATTGAGATTGCAAAGTGAGGAGATGAATCGAATGCGGAGAAGGGATCGTGGCTTTAGAATTGGGGCGGAGATGCCGGGGGGCACTTACGGAGAGCGAGTGAATGTGAGACGTTGAAAATGCGATGTGCACCCATTGGATTGGATGAGTGAGTAATCAAAAAATCATCTTCATCGTTCCTTCATGCAGCATCCATTACCAGCTTGCATCAACGTCCCCCTTGCTATTAGGCCCGGGACTTGAACCGTAAAACCGGAATTTCCGATTCCTTTCCTACCATTTTGGACTTCCATCTTTTTTCACTTCCGTTCCTATAGTTTATTTATATCCGTTAGGTTCGATTCCAGTTCGATTCCGGTTCCTAAGCAGTAAGAATAAGTGAGCTTGTTATTCATGAAATTTGGATTATGTCTATCAATTTTGAGCTTAAAATTCAATCGGAAAGTCAATTAAATAAATTATTGAAAAACACTACGTCAAAATACATATAAAAACACAATGTTTTTCAATATTTTATTTAATTCACTTCCCGATTGCATTTTAAGCTGAAATTTGGTGAATATAGTCTACACTTCATGTGAAACATGCTCACAAAATCTCATCAAAAAATTCTATTCGGAAGCATCTCAAATGGAGGTGGCGTGATCACGTTCCAGGTGGAAAATTCTTGTCATGATTATTTGTCTTGCATAATATACCTTATATATATAGTGGACCAACCAATCCGAGTAGTTGTTACGGAGTATTTTACTACTTTAGTCCATATTTATATTTATTGTTTGTTTGTAATTGTATTTGTTATTTGAGTTCACTAACTACGTTGTTATTTGTTCATATTAAATTACAAATATTACCGGTCAGTTTATTAGTATGTACATTTTACTTATGGTGTATTACTAGTAGAAGAATATTATTTTGTACTTGAACTATTTGGATGTGTACCTTGGAGCTATTAAACCTTTTGCTTTATAATTGATGCCTATTTTAAACCTTTATGTTTTTGTTATGTTTAAACTTAATGTTTGCACTTGGATATTTTTATGATACATGATATCATGTATGTATAATGTAATGGTCATAATTGCATGATTTTGAATTCAATTTTTTTTTTGTGTAACTGAAGGTAAAATGTGTTAATTTTAAGAGGATAATAAATTTCTATAAGCAACCGACAAAAGTAAGAACCAAATTGAATTTAACTAGAATCGATCGAATTTAAACGCTAAATTTTTAACTAGAACCGAACCGAATTTAACGCCTATAATTTTAAATACGATTCCATCAAATTTTAACAAGAACCGAATCAATCTTAGGCTAACTTGCTATTCTCAAAACAGATCTGGAGCTTCATCACAAGTCGTAAAAGTTTTTTTAAAAGCCTCTGAGATAAAATTAGTAACTTTTAATACTTGTATAGTTGTATTATTAATTTTATGCCAAAAAACAATTATAATAATGTGTTATATGAAACAAGAAAGAATGGCATAAGTATTATTCTCTCACTTTAGGAAGACAAAAATGTGACCATTTTAAAATTCGACAAAAAAGTTATCAATTAAAAAGTAAATCTAGTAGTTGGCACCTCCACCTAACAAACCATCAAGCGGCTCTCCGTCGAGCTTTGGAAACCATGGACCTACTTTCCATCACGATCGAGCTGACACCTCCGCCGGCCACCAGGGACAGCCGCCTCCACGTCTCATCTCCACCGTTTGCCTCCACATCTACTCCGCGAGTTGCCTCCGCCGGATGCCACGGTCCGCGCCGATGTTGCAATTCCGCCGTCGCTGCCCTGTTTGGGGCTAGGGTGAATCGTATTCTACGTCTTCTTCTCTGCGCACACCTTCTTCGCTAGCTTCATCGATCTCATTCCAATGCCCTATTTGGGGCTAGGGTGAATCGTGTCACACCCCAGACCGCAATCTAAGTGCGTGTACAACCGCCGTATAATCGAGTGACGTCACCCGCAGGTCAACCCCACTTAATCATACAAGGCATTCGAGAAAACAATCTATCCATACTCAGTAGTAAACATACATAACAAACATCACAATTAAACCATTGAATAGCGGAAATATTCAGCGGTTATTCATAGGCCACATTCGGCCAATAACATGGGCATGCAAGCCCAAAAGTAGTTTATAACGAATAAAAGTATCCATGAGCAATGTTTGGTAATTTGAAAGAAAACGAGGAAGCACGGACCACGTCTTCCTTGATTTGATGTCACCCGTAGAAAGGTGCAGGCAGCAAGCCCTAGCTTCAACCTAAAAATGGTGGGGCCCCTCAGAAGGGGTCAGTACAAGTACCGAGCGAGTAGCAGGCTAAATATAGAATAACTAGCGTTTCAAGTACAAGACTCAAACGTAGTGTCACTCCCCAGACCGCATCCGAGCCACGTAGACAACCGTCGTACAACCCGATAAGAACAACAACAGTTCATCCCTATTGAATTGTACAAACCGATTAGTTCATCCATATTCTATTGCCAAACCGATTAGTAAACACATACAATCAACATCAATATCATAATCAAACAAATGCGTAAATAATAATATGCTTGATACTTAGCCACACGTGGCAAACACGGGCACGCAGGCCCCCAACTGTTTTAAGGAAAAACATTGTTCAAAAATCCATGAGCAGTTTATAAATTTCAAATACGTATGGAAGCACGAACCACGTCTTCCTCCTTGGACGATCACCCTAGGCAAAGGTGCAGGTAGTAGGACTCTAGCCTTAACCTGAAAAATGTGAGGGCCCCCGGAGGGGTCAGTACTCCATAGAAGTACTAGTGACAAGCAGGCTATATGAAGAATAACTGATGTTTCAGACACGAGACCCAAAAATAGGGTGATACACACACACACACACATATATATGACTCATCCACCCGATGATACATACTGTATATATATTTGTAAAATACTCAACACGTAGGTCATTTCATTTAAAGAGTCTTTTAGAGATAAAGTTCTTACCTGACTTTTCTCACTCCCTTCCCGGTTTCCTAGCTCTCAAGCTATAGTCTACCTTCGATTCATACCACCGAGTGTTTTAGGATCATTTACCGTCCAAGGCACTCAACCCAACCTGGAGTATTTAGGATCATTTACCGTCCAAGGGTACTCGGCCCCACCTGGAGTATTCTGGATCATTTACCGTCCAAGGGTACCCGACCCCACCTGGACTATTCTGGATCATTTACCTTCCAAGGGTACTCGACCCCACCTGGAGTATTCTGGATCATTTACCGTCCAAGGGTACCCGACCCCACATGGAGTATTCTGGATCATTTACCGTCCAAGGGTACTCAATCCCCAGTCTATCCTCAACCAAAAATACCATTTTGGATCCATGGAACATCAAACATAATAAGTTATCACATTTTTAATCACCAAACCTACATAACATGCTTTTCAACTATGTTTTATGTATAATCATGACATAAGAAAACACTTAGTTATCTTTAATCATTCCACAAAACATATCCTTGATTACTTTAGGTAATATCATGCCTCACGCAAAAGTTATAAAGCATAAAGCCGTCTTCTCACCTTAATGAAGCTTATGAAGTTCTAGCCTTCCCGATTTAGCTCCGGCGAAACTCCGACGAACTTCAACGAACTCCGGCGATAACTCCGGTGACCCTTTCGACTCCATGAAAGTTCCTTGAATACCTTAGACAAGTTACTAACAAGGGTTTATCATCATAAAACCCATAGTAATACAAATAACCTCAAAAAGGTTATTTTCCGGCGAACCGGTCACTTGGCTTCTAAGTCCGTTCTTGGACTTAAAACTACCTTCCAACCCCTCATTCTACACTTCCAAACATGTAGAACAATACTAGGGTGTGAAATATGATTGAATAATCATATAGGAGGATTGAAGAACAAGAAATGGGGTTAATGGAGTCATTACCTTGTTAAACACAAGTTTTCCCACCTAAACTCCTCTTTTCTCTTCTCTTTTTCCTTTCTTCTTCCTCCCTTAACTTGGTGCGTGTATGATGGATTAAAATGGATTATCTTCAGAGCTTCTCTCACTTGGTTGATGCCTGATACGAATGGGGTGAGTTGGTGTGATTGAGAATGCCTTCTTGGCATTTCTCACAATCATGGCATGTGGGAGACCCTACTCCATTTAATGCCTTTCCTCTCAACCCTCTTTCTTTCCCCTCCCCCTTTCTCCTTGTGCGGCTCCCCTTGACATTTGCAGCACCAAATTCGTGGGGTGGCCCCCACTCATGTGGGAGGTCATCCCTTTATGTCCCCAAGTGTACAATCGGTCCCGAAGGTTGTATTTTCCGGACTGTTTTAATTATATTTTATTTTATCGGGCCAAATAAAATATAACACTTGTTACCAATCCTTATTGGACCTTAGAATCAATATGCATTCCCCAACTTTAATTTTAGAAGTCTCCGAATCCCTTTTTGGGCTGTTATCTGATAAATTGCCGATACTGATAATTTGGCCCCGTTTGACCAACCGGTCAACCCTATGCCCTTGCCATGGCCCAATTAGGATATCCATCACCATATAAATATTATCTAGTCCAAGATTAATATAATATGTGGTACCGATAATATCGGGCGGCCCCACTTCCGGTGTGGGCCCCACGTAAATTTTACTATTCACGTAAAAGAAATGATAAAAATTTACAATCCTGTAAAAATGCTTTTATTCATTTATCTATGTTCAATACATAATTTGATAAAGTGCAATTACTTGGGGGTGGTGTTACAAGTTCTACCCCCTTATTTGGGATTTCGTCCCCGAAATCCACGCGTCTAGTCAAACAGAAATGTATATTGTTCCCTCATTAGGGTCTCAACTTCCCAAGTATGCTCCTCGACACGATCACTCTTCCAAAGTACTTTTACCATCGACACCTCTTTTCTTCTTAGCTTCTTTACCTGTCGGTCTATGATTTTCACCGGCTGCACCGTATATTGTAGGTCTTCTCGGATTTCCACCGGTGGTTTCTCAAGAATATGTGACGGGTCCCGCACATACTTCTTGAGCATAGAAACATGAAACACATTATGAATCTTTTCTAACTCTGGAGTCAACTGAAGTCGGTAGGCTACAACCCCAATGTAACGTGGGTTAAGCTTACCCCGACTGAGGAACCTGATGATCCCTTTCCAAGGTGACACCCTCAGAAATACCTCGTCACCGACCTCAAACTCCAACGTCCTCCGACGTTTATCAGCATAGCTCTTCTACCGATCTTGGGCAGCCTTGAGCCTATCCTGTATGACTTTTACCTTCTCTTTAGTGATCTC